ACGTTCAGGCAGAGATTTCCCAAAACGGAATACTCTTTTGGGCATTCGCTAGAAGATAACAGCTCCATAACAACATTCTATGTATTTGTTCATGATTTTCGACCACCAATTTGGATTCAAATAGCTTTTTCGCAATATCCAAAACTTAATCTACAACAATTCTTCATAACATTCTCAACATGCTTCTTATTGCTCCTGCTTATGGCAGCTGTCTTATGGAAAATCAAGCAAAAATACGATATGTTTCGCAGAAGGCAGCGACTATTTGTCGAAATGGAACAAATGGCGAGCCGTCCATTTTCACAGGTACAAATATATTTATATATTTATTCTTTAGACCGTATCATAAAAATAAGACCACTTAATATGAGAACGTTGTAGGAATGTAAGATCATACACTTTCGTGCATATGTATTTACATATAACTTTTTGTTGATAGATTTTTACGAACTTTATGCTATCCTAAAGGTAAACAAATCTGCAAATTATCTCTATACATTATTCCATGATACAAAAAAGAAGGTAGTTTCAATAAACAACTTTTTGATTAAAAAGCAGATTTTTGACAATTGCTCAATTGTGAAAAATTGGAAGCGGCGTTACCCAATTGTAAGTTTTTTGGTGTGGGAGATTTTATATCCTAAATTTGGAATTATAAGGAAAATAGTTGTATTAATATATACCTTTTAAAAATAATCAATATCTTATCTTAAAAGCGTTCAAATTACATTAAATTCGATAACAACTTGCCAGGTCATTATTTTAATATTAATACAATTTTAGTGAACATATTTTAAAATATTTTTAGTGTCCTCATGTCATCTCATTATTTCACAATGTAGTTTTCTATATCGGATACGATGATTCTGAATTACAGACACTGAAATTACACATTTCGATGTGGTATTTAATACTTATTGTCTTTGCCCATTTAACAGCAAATGGAATTTACTTTAGGACCCATGGGCCGTAAAATTTTTCTAGCAACACATATTATTTTCACATGAAATTTTGACACACCCAAAATTTAAGTATAAAATAAATAGATAAAAATAGATTTTCAATCAAACTGATTTGTGTAGTCCAGGGGCGCCTTTAGTAAATGTTTGGAGGCTGTTTTAATATATCCTATCTTATTATATCTTTCTTAGCTTTTTTACATTCTGAGAAGTTGAGAGAATGAAGTCTAATATTCTTTTTTAGTCAACTATGATATTTGATTTCATTTTTTGCAATCACAAATTATCACAAGAACGGTTATAGGCTAAAACTAAACCTATATCTAAAGGGCGTGTGGAGCCTCCCATACAAATCGAATTTTTCATAGTGCATATCTCTGAAAGTATTTGTGGTAGAGTCCTGGAACTTTGTATGGATATATGTATATGAAGTCAATCTCAAGCTCACGGAAAAATGTGGATTTATTGGAAAATGCGGCGTGCCCCGTAGAACTTGGAATAGAGGTAAATGAAACCAATCCCAAACCTATGAAAAATGGGGGTATATGAAAACGATCTCGTAGCCATTGAAAAGAGCTAGCGGTATAAACCAAATAAACTATAATTCTTGTGACGCATAGATACCTCTGGAAGCATTTACCTAGAATACTGAGATGAGGTATTTTTCCAACGGAAATATGTACAGAAAAACGGGCGCGACTCCTTCTGGAAAGTAAAATGATCACAGGGTGTATCCCGAGAACCATTTTAAGCTAAACCTTCAGGGATTACATTCTTGCCAAGACCCATAGGCGTAAGCTGAAATTGCGTCGCAAGTTTTATGATCGGCTTAGGTAAGATTTAACCACTTAACCCCCCTTTGTTTTCGTCGCTACTGAATTCTATAAACTGTCAGCTTTCACACAATTTAAAATGTACATGGAAGAACAAAATATTTTTAAATCGACAAAAAAATTATATGAAAATTTGAAGGATTTTAGATATTGGGTATGGTAGCACGAAATGTCACAATCTGCTTAATTGTCAGGTTGTTAATATGGCGACGAAAAAGTGACAATGGAACTACCTTGTTTTTTGTATCATGCTATCACCTGTAATTGATGCGCCTTGGTTGTCATTGAAGAACATCATGTAATTTACTGTACATATTGCCATTCTAACAGGCTAACCTAATATTCGCGGCTTGCGTTTTGGTACGCATGCCGTCGAATTTGTTTTTTT